GCAGCGAATGAATGAATTGCTGGGCGCTGCTCTTGATTTATACTTCTGTTTGCCGCTGGTCTGCCCCTTTCCACCAGGCCCTGGGTGTGCACAGTCCCACCCGGTACTTGCTTAACCGAACTCGGTAGGACTGGGACTGGCAACTTCCACTGCATGAGCTGGCACTGCCGACTCAATGCAGTTGGACCTGTGACTCACCTACAGACCTCTAGCCTAGCAGTTTCGACCTCTACACAGCTATGACCCCTACTTGACAGACCTACAGATCGAACCCCTACACCTACACAGACCTACGACAGACAAACAAACAACTATCAAAACACAAAAGGTGAAAACCGTTTCAGGGCCAGCCGCTGCTCAACCACATCCACGTGGGCGGCCTTGTACAGAAGAGGTTCTGAACTGGGGGGGTTAGTTATAAGTAAGGAGATAAAAAATGAATTGATATCTTTCTTGTTTCCTTTTGTTTTTGTCGCTTTTGCGCTCTGATATCTTTGTGGTAGCCTAGGGGCTAAGTGGTCCCGGGCCACTCTGGTAGCCTAGGGGCTAAGTGAGTTTAAGTCTTATGGAAATGTTAGTGATGATCTCAGATGCAAGAAGCATGACAAAGAAAACGAGTTGCAGACCGAGCATGGATTTCTTGGGGGCCAGCAAAAGCACAAAAAAAACAAGAAATGTGTTGCCAGTCTACTACGCCAGATGCTTCCGAAAATCTGAGTGAGGATCCGGGTGAGGATCCGGGCTGCCCGGGTGACCGGCAGGGGCCCGGGGGAGGTCCCGGGCGGCCTGGCCGGGCAGGGCACCCGGTTGGGGGCCGGGCCTCCCCAGCGCACTCACCTGTCGGGGGATTTCGGACCCCCTTTTGGACCCCCTTTGTGTGTGTGTCCCTACTTTTGGAGCAACCTTTTGCGTAACCTTAGCGTTCTGACACTTCCGCTGCGTGTGTCCGTATTCTCCGCAGTTGATGCAAGCGCCACGTATTCGGCGGTCACGCCACACGTCTTGATCAAGACCTGCCTTTACCCACTCAGACTGTTTGGTCTGATTGGAGGCGGCCTTCCCTTGACTCCTAGGTTGGCCCTTCCCTCGGCCACCTGCCTTAGTCTTTACTACGGCGGCAAGGGTGCTACCCTCAGCTACCTCCTCGGCGTCATACTCTGAGTAGTCCATCACGTCAGAGAGCTCATCAATCTCAGTTTGAGTCCCATCAGACTCAACCATCATCAACTTCGCCCCCTTCTTCTTCCACTCATGAGGACTCTTCTTCTTCTTTGAGTCATTCCCTGAGGTGGGTTGAGCATTGCCTAGTGTGGCCTCTAAATCTAAGGCTTTCCTATACGATGTCTCAAATGAGTGGTACTCAGTGCGTGCCTCACTGGCTAGTAAGTTCC